ACTCTAGGAAATATCACGGGGCGACTCAGTACCTAGTTGCCTGGAAACACCTTCCTGCATCACAAAATGAGTGGGTCCATAAACGTCATGTCAGAGCCCAGAATCTACTAAAGAAGTTTCACACAGAGTACCCTAACAAACCTGACTAAATTTTATACCTATTCTGTTTTCTTTCAGGTGGATCTCTCCTATTTTTAAGAGGGCAGGATGTCAGAATCCAATCATATTTCATATCAAGTTAGCAACTATGAAAAACTCCATCCCTGCCTTCCCTGGATTCTGTCATGGATGAAGGGAAGGGGGTGAACAAAGGGGCTTTATGGCTCTCACTTCCTTCAGGATACTTCAAAGGAACTGGATGTGGAATCACCAAAAGGACTAACAATAACAATAGGGGGTCATTAGCTTTCATGTGATCCTTCCTGAAGTTTCCTCTCGGTAGTGAGGAAAGGGGTGGGGATGAAACGCCTGAGACTGTCTCTGGGAGAAGGGGGTGATGGGGGTGGCTAAAGGGGGCACCCCTTTAAAATCTTGAGCTGGAAGCTTTCACCCCAAGTCCTGTTTAGAACGCCTGCAACCATCTTCTCTTAATAAAGATGCCTATTGGAAGAAATATTCCAAGAGTTCTGTCTTCTTAAGATGCAAAGTGGGGTAGGTCCTTACAACTTGCCTTCAGAGATTATGGGCACTTCATTGCTGGAGATTTTTTTTTAGAAGAGACTGGACAGCCACTTGTCTGAAATGATATAGGGCCTCCTACTTGAGCAGAAGGTTGGACTAGAAAACCTCCAAGATGCCTTTCTATTCTATTCTATTCTATTCTATTCTATTCTATTCTATTCTATTCTATTCTATTCTATTCTATTCTATTCTATTCTAAGGAGCTTTGATGACCCTCTGGAGGGTCTGTTGGTATGTCACTGTTGTAATAACCCCCAACCACATGATAAAAATGAAACTAGTGATTTTTATATCCCTTGCCATTGAAATATGAAGTCAACTCTTGATGTTTTGGGATGAAAGAGGGGGAAATACTTCTTCATCCCACCCCTCCCTTTTTTCTTTTCTAATAGGCAAAAATGCAAAAATAAGTAAGAATGGAAAGGTCCTCCCTTTTCTATAGACATGTTTATACTTCCTGAAAAAGTTGAGGATGAATGAAATAGTGATAAATTATTGCAACACTTAATAAAAGGTGAAAAATAATTAAATAAGGGGGACGGGATACAAACCACCAATCAAACTCTGTTTTTATGTCCCTCCTCTTCAGATAATAGTTAACTTGGATTTAAAGATTAATAGATTCACAAGAAAGTGTATAAATGGCCCACTGTGGAGAATTCAGGATTAACTGCATGGGAATGCTGAATAGTGTTCCCTTTCATCTCTAATAGCAGCAGGCTCTTCTTTACAATCCTAAGGCATCATGACTTACCCAGGCTTCAGCTGTCAGCTACTGCTCTTATTTCTTGGGCCTGGCTTCAGTTTGGGTGCTGCTCTCCATTTAGTGCATTGTGCCCCTTGTACTGAAGAAAAGCTCAGGCTGTGCCCACCACTGTCTGCCAACTGCCCAGAAATATCCCGCCAACCAGGCTGCAGTTGCTGTCATAGCTGTGCCCTTCAGCTGGGGGAGCCTTGTGGAATATACACAGCACGGTGTAGCTGGGGGCTTAGTTGCCAGGTACAGGTATATCAAGCTCGACCCCTTTATGTTCTCACTCAGGGGCAAGGTTCTTGCCTCCCCATTGCTGATAGGACAGAAACTGCAGGTAAGAAACATATCTTTCTGTACCTTTTTTTACTCATACTCAGAATACTGGCTGAGGCTGATGACTGGCAGAAAAAATAACCGTGATTAGAATGATCTAGTGCAAATAATGAAATGTTAACTTATTTAAGTATGATTGAAATTGAGAGATGATCTAACCATCTGGTTAGTTTATGGGGTGGGTTCAAAAACAAACATTGGGAGGTAGAGACAAAAAACTATGTGAGAAAACATAGTTCAGAGTTTGCTATCCAATATCTGGCACTGAAGAACTGGTTCAGAGACTATAGGAATCAGATAATGGCCTTTTCAAAATACGTTCACTCCTAAAATCAATAGAAGTTTCCTAGTTTGAGCGGAGGACCAAGAAAGATAACAGGATGAGGCTGACTGTCATGACTGTAAGAAAACTTTTAACAGTAAAAGGGAGGTTGCTTTGCTATCCGTCTCCCAAAAATGGGAGGAGGCAACAACTTCTCAAAGTTTTGAGTACAAAGCATTTGTGCAAACATGTTTCGTTTTAAGAGAAGATCATTTAGAAACTACCATCTCCCTTACATAGGGAAATGTTAGTACTGCTAAACTAAATAGAAATAGAATAATATTTTTTATAAAATGCTCCAACCCATTGATCTCCCTCTTAGTTATTTATGGTCTCATATACAGTGATTGAAAAGTTATTTAGTAAAGTTTCATCCATTTTGATTTACAGATTAAATAGTAGAAACCCCAAGTCTGCAGATACAAATAAGATACTGTACATTTAGTCTCACCACCTCTGTATCATCTGATCACCAGTTACATGCATGTTATATTTTCAGCCCTTATTAATGCATTTAACTGTTGACATTTGTTAACGAAACTGAATTTTCAACAAACTGAAACAACGGAAGGAACATTATTTCTGCAGTTACTAGAAACTTTCCTTCAACTCTCATTCTTAAAAACATATCTGTTATCATTTGCACTTTTAAAAAAAAATGCTGAACCTTCTATAAAAAAAATCAGATGGTAGTATTTTGAAAAGCAGCTTGAGTGAGCTCCAAATTAACCAAATTCAACATCAACATAATCCATATATTGTGACAAGAAAAACAAAGTTTATAACTGCATCTCTTGTACAGACTTTTCATTATATTTAACTGTGGAATTTTAATTCTGCAAAGAGATATAAATGTGCTTCTTCCTGCAATGAGCCTCTCATTTTGCTCTTATAGCAGTGCTGTGAGATAGATTAGGACAGGAGGGAAGAATTGACTAAAAGACACTGAACATACAAATTCAGGAACTCTCTAATTTTAACTTAAACCATTAGGCTGATTGTATTATTAATTTTAATTTATGCTATTCAGATTTTGGATAGTCATAAGGGAAATGTTTCACAGTAAAAAGTGTAAAATGCTTGACTTGAAATGTTGAAAATGTATGCAGTTGAAAATGTACCGTATGTAGAAAATTATCTGATAGGTAGGCAAGACCACTGCATTTTATTGGCCTCTAGATGTTCTTGGAAAATTCCCCAAAATTTCAATGGTAGGCTATCTCAGGAATTTATAGTTTTCATCTTTTGCCAATGCACAGGTTTAAAAAGTATAAGGCTAAATGTTTTTTAAGAAAGGGTGAAAAACAAAATAAAATTAATTTAGGCTAGGAATCTCCAATATTTTTAGACATGGGCACATCTGTATTTTTTAGAGTATATTGTGATAGTTCTCTCAAACTATTACATGTTATGTGTTGTTCTGGGAACATAAAAAGTCTTCCATGGTGATGGGCTTGGCAATGACAAAATGGCTGACTTAGTGGGCATAGTCGGTCACAAAATAGCCAAGCACTCAAAAACAAACTGTTGAGGTTATTCCATACCACCTCTTTTTATTTCTTAGGATGTTTTCATTTCAGCTGATCTTTGATTTGTTTTTGCTGAATAGATGAGAATACTTCAAAACTAACTACTAGGCTACAGTCTCTTGCATTTAGCCATGACTATCTATGGGGAGATATTTGGAAACTAAAGGCATTTTTGAAAATGCTGAAAAGTTATGTTGCATACTGAGTTCTCATTTCTTTTTTCTTTTTAATGAAAAGAATCTCTTAAAATTACAGTAAAATTAAAGTCAATAATAAAATAAACCTGCCAGGCACTAGTAGAGGTGTTTGCATCCATCTTGATGCCTGTGGGATTTTGTTGGGAATTTTTGTTTTATTGATTTTATTGTAATGTCTGTGTAACTATAGTGAGTTTCCTGGAGTTTTTAAGATTTGGGCAGCCTATAAGTTTAAATATATAATGGCTAATTGTGCAATCAATTCTTTAGACTGAACTTGACATTTTTATCCATCTGCTAAATCTTTCCCAAGAACCAGCAGACATTTGAGTTTGAATTTGCTTTAGATTATTTGATAGTGTTAAAGGTATTATCACAGGATGTAATCTCTTCCAAGTAAAACAGTCTTTTGCAACTCACAGGTGGTGATTTTGTCAATATGTTCAAGTGGTGTTTTAGATGTTTTGGGATTGCACCTGAAGCACCCATCAGTACTGGTACTTGCTTTGTTTTCTTTTGTACCGTCATTCTATTTCTATTTGCAGGTGTTCATATTCTATTATCTTTTCTAGCTCCTTCTCTTTCATTCCACTGTTTCCAAGCACTGCCACATCTACAGGTGAAACTCGAAAAATTAGAATATCGTGCAAAAGTTCATTTATTTCAGTAATGCAACTTAAAAGGTGAACCTAATATATGAGATAGACTCATTACATGCAAAGCAAGATAGTTCAAGCCGTGATGTGTCATAACTCTGATGATTATGGCTTACAGCTCATGAAAACCCCAAATCCACAATCTCAGAAAATTAGA